AAAAAAAAAAAAAAAAATGGCTGGGGACTGCAGCTCAGTGCGATGGCCCTGGGTTCCATCCATGGTACTAAAAACAGTTCCCGTTTTTTCCACTTTGTTTTGCTCATTATTCTATACAGGGTAGGCTGATGCTGGTTAAACTTGTTTGGTGGACTTCTGTATTTGGTTGCACAATGTTTTTTTTTCTTTTGTTTTCTTTTTTGAGCCAAGGTTTGGCTATGTAGTCTAGGCTGGCCTTGAACTCACAGCCATCCTGCTTCTGCTTTCCAAGAGCTAGAATTACAGGCATGGCCACCATGCCCAGCCTAGTTGCACAATGTTGATATAGGATAAAAGGAAGAAGACATTTCCCAGAAGTCCTGGACTTGCAGCTGTTCTGGTACCTGTGCCTGACTCTGGTTCTCTGTGTTGTTGCTTTTGAGAAGGGAGGGAGTGTGAAGGTGAGACTGTGATGTCACATTGAGATGGGAAGGAGAATTTAAAAATATTAAACACGAGCCAGGCATAGTGGTGCACACCTGTATCCCAGCATCCTCAGAGGCAGAGGCAGGAGGACTGAAAATATGAGCCCAGCCTGAGCAATTTAATGACTTAGTGAGACTCTGTCTCAAGATAAAAAGTAGAGTAGCCTGCATGGTGGCGCACGCCTGAGGCTGGAGGATCACCACAAGCCAGCCTGGGGTCCATAGTGAGTTTAAGGCCAGCTTGAACTACATAGCAAGACCCTCTCTCAATAAAGAAAATTTAAAAAAAAATTTTTTTTTTGGGGTACTGTGAATCAAACTCGGGACCTTGTGCTTGCAAGGCAGGCGCCGTGACCACTGAGCTACATCCCCAGCCCCCTCAAAATTTTTTTTTAAAGGGCTGGGGATGTAGCTCAGAATAAAGTCCCTGGGTTCAATCCTCAGTACCACACCAAAAAAAAAAAAAAGGAAAAGAAAAAAAAGTGTGGAAAACCATATGCGTATGAATAGTGGGCAGCTAAGTGGCAAATAATGTCATTGTCCTCTAAGATCCATTCTTGTTTTCATTAGGACCAAAGGAATTTTAGTAGGGCCTAAATTTTCCGTCCTGCTCTGCAGACTGGCGTGGCAATGTGACTACGTACGGTCTGGCCAGTGGGACGTAGGAGGTAGTGTGGGCTTCCCAGAACCATCCTCAAGAGATGCTCGCCACACTCTCCCCTTCCTCCCCATTTCTTCATTCTCTGCTTGTAATGTAGATATGCTGGGCTGGGTCCTGTGACTGCATCAGAGGAGCCATATACCAGCTTCAATTACCACTAGAATTTTACACGGGAGAGGAGTAAACTTTGACCTTGTTTAAGCCATTGTTGCTTTGGGTCTCTGTCAATGGCACTGAACCTAACACTCATGCTCTCTTTTGTTTTGGCCTGTCCCGCCCAACTTCCCATTCCTGAGAGACTTCCTCTATCCATTTCCTTGTGGTTCTGTGAGTCACTGAGCCTCTTTTTTCCCCAGCGGCTGGGCAGGTGACCAGACCAGACTTCCCTCTCCCTCTCAACAGGATGGAATCCTGGGTGAGGGGCACAGGAACACCAGGCAGATGGGTCTAAGTTACTGTGATGTATGTGCTAGCAAAATAAGATTTTTTTAAGTACTGGGAATTGAACCCAGGGCTTTTGCACTGAGCTACATCCCCGGCCCTTTTTTATTTTGAGACAGAGTCTTGCTAAGTCATTGAGTTTCCCAAACTGTGCTCAAACTTAAATCCTCCTGCCTTGGCCTCCCAGTGTGCTAGGACTACAGGTGTGTGTCACTATGCCTAGCCTTGTTTTCCTCTTCTCTTTTTTCCCTTCCTTCCTCTCCTTTTTTTTTTTTTTTTCCCCATAGGGTGTTACTACGTGGTCCAGGCTAGCCTTGAATTTGCTTGTAGCCTAGACTGGTCTCAAACTCTTAATTCTGCCTCAGAATCCCACAAAATCCTTGAGGGTCCCAGAAACAACATACTGCAGGCTAGTTTATACATAACAGAAATTTATTGCTCACCTTGGAGGCTGGGAAGTCCAAGATCAAGGCGTGGGTAAAACTGGTGTATGCTGAGGGCTGCTCTTTGCTTGCAAGATTATTCTTCACAGTATTTATCAGTGTACCTAAACGCGCACACACACACACAACACACACAGTACAATACATAATACATATTTCAGAAATAGAGCTTTCAGTTTTGCCTAGACCTAAAAGAAAATCCTAACGAAGGTGAGTAGCGGGTAAGGTGGTCATAACATTCCCCAATGGAGAGAAAAACAAATAGAAGGAACTTCTTTTTTGTTTGGTACTGGGGATCGAACTCGGGGCCTTGTGCTTGCGAGGCAGGCGCTGGAACCACTGAGCTAAATCCCTGGCCCGGAACTTCCTCTTTTATTAATTTTTAAAAATTTTTATCAGTATGTTTGGAATATATGCTGTTTACAGTCCCTGTGCAGAGTTGGTACATGCACATAACATATCTTAATTCCTTTTTCATCCCCTTCCACCTCTCTCCCCTTTCATAGACATTTCTAACATCTGCACAAGCAGGGCTTCTGTGTAGCACCAGCACCAGCATCACTACACCTGCTTTGTTCAATACAGTGTGGCAATTACAACTAAACAACTGAACTTTAGCCATGTTTGGTAGTGTGTACTACAGTCTCAGGTATTCAGGAGGCTGAGCCAAGACGATCACTTGAGCCCACTCCAGGGAACAGAGCAAGACCTCCCATCTTGGAGAAAGAAAAGATGGAAGGAAGGGAGGGAGGGAGGGAAAGAGGAAGTAAGGAAACACAGACTCATTTTAAATTTAACTTCATTTAAATTTATGATCCAATACTCAATTCAGTTCTGATCATGGATCACTTAATGATAGGGATTCATTATGAAAAATGTTAGGCAATCTTTTCTTTTTGAGACAAGGTCTCTGAATGTAGTCCAGGCTGATCTTGAACTCATGGTGATCTTCCTGCCTCAGTCTCCCAAGTGCTAGGATTACAAGTGTGCTTCACCACACCTGTAGGCAAATTTGTCACAGAAATGGAATGTACTCAGACAATCCTAAATGGTGTAGCCTGCTATACACACAGGCCATCAATTCTGCCTATCTGATTAAGGAATTCCTTGAGCTGGGCATGGCATGCACATCTGTGATCCAAGCATTTGGGAGGCTAAGGCAGGAGGATCATTGAAAGTTCAAGGCCACCTGGGCTACAAGGAAAGGCCTTGTCTCAAAAAAAGACAGTATTTTAAAAAGAATGTTAAAACATCTCAATGATTTTCATATTGATTACATGTTAAAAAGATATTTCAGCTAAACTGGGTTAAATAAAACAAAATAAAATGAATGCAGTGTACTTTTCCCAGAACAGTGACTGCAGTAAGAATTGGACAATAAAAAATGAGGATGGCCAGGGATTTAGCTCAGTGGTACCACCACCTGCCTTGCACGCGCAAGGTCCCGAGTTTGACCTATGGTACCAAAAAAAAAATGAGGAACAGGCAACCCATTCAGGACCCCTCTTGTCTCTCAGTAGCTATTCTTATTCCCCAATAAATTTTCCTACTGTTAACCTGCATTGTTCCTTAGCATTCTTCAATTTCGGGGAACATTAACTCAGTATATCTGACATCTAGCAGGTTGGGAGTTACATCTATTCCTCTATATCATTTCGGAGGTTTCACGGAGATCATTTGATGGAAAAGCTGCCAAACTCCAAGTGATCATGCAGATGATGGAATCAATGACAAATGTGCTAGACTCCTTTACCAGGACCCACCAGCTTGACCTTGGAAAGAAAGTTTATAACAGCTAACCTACAACATGACTTCTATCTGAGGCCCATTAGATTAGCTCTCTGGAGAGGGGCCCTGACTGCAGTCTACCCTACATCAGCCCTTCTCAGCTTGGAGCAGTTAGAAGGAAACTATGACCCTTCTCCCCTAACCACAGTTAGGGATGCTTCTTCAGAGAGAGGAATGATATAGACAGCTAAGGTAGAAATTATTATAGGCAGTCAGACAAGGCTGGGCCCACAAAGTCAGAGCAGAGGATGAGAACACATCGAAGCTGTGGCTGGAGGTGCATCTGCAGAAGGTTAAAGTCACAATGGCCAGATATGCATACTTCCCTAAGAGATGAACAGAAGCTTGAGATTATTGGTACTACCCTCTTGGGCTTTCCTGTATAGATAGACCATTATATCACTGGGGGTGCGCCATCCTCTTCCATCCACTAAGACTAAGACCACTATGACTAAGACTACTAAGACTAAGAAGACTAAGACTACAGATTATCAACCAAAGTTAGTGATGTCATCTGTATACCCTTGTTACTATTGGGTCAATATTACCTAAGCAACTATACTTGTAATCTTATTCATTATAGTTTTTTACTCATTTTGTACCCACCCCT